GAACAAGTATCTGATGTAACATTACAATAAGCACCTATACTCGTTCCTGGACAGTAGTATGCTGGTGGTACAGGAGTTGTCGCGGTTGTTGCAGTTGTTACTGATGTAGTTGTTGCTGTTGTTGTTGTTGTTGTTGATGTTGTGGTTGATGTAGTAGTTGACGTTATTGTAGGTGTTGCCGTTGTCGTTCTCACAGCAGTACTACTTGTGGTACTACTGCTGCTACTCGTAGTAGTACTGGTGGTAGTGGTCGTGGTAGTACTACTACTTGAAGTACTGCTAGTGGTAGTGGTAGTAGTAGTTGTACTTGAAGTACTGCTGCTACTTGTAGTGGTGCTTCTTGAGGTACTACTGCTGCTTGTAGTGGTACTGCTAGTGGTGGTCGTGGTAGTAGTGCTACTTGAGGTACTACTGCTGCTCGTGGTAGTACTACTTGTGGTACTGCTGCTACTTGTAGTCGTACTACTGGCGGTGGTAGTAGTAGTAGTGGTGCTACTTGAAGTACTACTGCTGCTCGTAGTAATACTGCTAGTGGTAGTCGTGGTAGTAGTACTACTTGTGGTACTGCTGCTACTTGTTGTAGTACTTGTGGTGGTAGTAGTACTGCTACTGGTAGCACTGGTAGTGGTACTCGTAGTGCTGCTACTGCTCGTAGTGGTACTGCTAGTAGTGGTCGTGGTAGTAGAGCTACTTGTGGTACTGCTGCTACTTGTTGTAGCACTAGTGGTACTAGTAGTGCTACTGGTGGTGGTGGTGGTAGTGGTACTTGTAGTACTGCTACTGCTTGTAGTGCTGCTGGTGGTAGTAGTAGTAGTGCTGCTACTTGTGGTGCTGGTAGTGGTAGTAGTAGTAGTGCTAGTTGTGGTACTGGTACTGCTGCTGCTACTCGTAGTAGTAGTGGTGGTGGTGGTGGTGGTCGGTATTGCTGAAATATAAAACAATTGTACTTTATTCAGTCAAATTAGTGAGAATTTATACTGAAAACATCAATATGAGATTTTTTGTCAATTTTTCAAATAATAGTCGCAAAAAGAATAATTATCAACTATAACTTAATATTACTCGATAATATACAAACAAACTTACTGCAGTTGTTAGTTTGAAGAGCGAATTGTTGCACTCGACTATTATTTCGATCAGTAACATAAATGTTTCCATAACTATCAAAAGCCATACTTTGTGGAAAAGATAATTGAAATGCAGTTGAACCACCTCCCGAACATCCTACTATACATCGAAAACCAGAAGAACTTGAACCAACAATACGATGATTATAACTATCGACAATAAAAAGATAACCGTTAGCATCAAGGACAATTCCAGTTGGATAGTTAAGTATAAAATTTATTGAAGATCCATTACCAACGATTGTTACTCCATTTAATTGACCAGTTTGAACGAATTGAATACGATTGTTAGCACTGTCTGCAATATATAGATTTAAATTACTATCGACATAGATTCCTTGTGGAGAATTAAGCATATTTGATAGTGATCCAGCAGAACCATTACCAGCTGCGACTGTCGGAATGGTTGTACCATTATTAAATAAGAGTTTAACAACTTGATGAAGATTTTTAAGTGAACAATAAAGATTATTATTAATATCAATAAATAAACCATAACAACTTCCATTAATATTCATAACAGTAACCCGATTTGAAGTATTAAATATATATTTATCGACTCGACCATAGGAATAACCATTATCAATATAAATATCACCATTAATAGACATAAAAAGACTATATGGACAACTCAAATTACTGTAACTATTACTTATTGATGTACTACTTCCTTGAGGCCATGATAAAATAGTGCTACTAACTCGATTAGGTACATATACAGTATTAATTCCATTAATAAAAATACCATAAGGTAATGTACCAATTGTAGTACTTGATGCAAAAGTTGATGCATTAGAATACCACGAAGCATCAGAACAAAATGTTGGTTGATTATAAGAAAGACCTAAAAGACAAGAAATAAATGGAGATTATCGAAAACATAAACTAAAAATAACTTACTACATGAATTTGATGCTAATATAAACTTTTGCACTCGACTGTTACCTCTATCAGCAACATATAGATTTCCATAACTATCGAAGCTTAAAGATGTTGGGTAATTTAATTGACTTGATGAAGAACCAGGTATTGTTGTACATCCAAATAAACATCGAAAACCATATGGTCCTGATCCAATTATTCGACTATTAAAAGTATCCACAATAAAAAGATATCCATTACCATCTAATGCAATACCATATGGATTATTAAGTGTAATAGTTCCTGGCGCACTAGCTCCTGCTACGGTTGTTCCAGTAGATTGTCCAACAGCAAATACTTGCACCCTATTATTAAGAGAATCTGCAACATATAGATTTAATTTGAGCATCAACAAAAATTCCAATAGGTTTATTAAGTCTAGTTGCTGTTGATCCAGCTGTGCCGTTGCCGGCAACGATAGTTGATGTAAGTACATTATCATTCAACCATTTCTTAACAACTTGATGAGACGAAAATGTTGAACAATAAAGAGTATTACTAATATCAACAAAAATACCATAACATGCATAAGGAACTGACATTACAGAAGTACTTATATTTGAGTTTAATGAAAATTTATCAACTTGACCATTATTTAAACCATTATCAACATATATATCACCCAGAGGAGTAACGAAAAGATCATTTGGGGTACTCAAACTACCAGAAAGAATTTTATCTGGATTGGTACTTCCTTCGAACCATACTACAACCGTATTAGTTTGTTGATTAACTACATATATAGTATTATTAATACTAATGAAAACACCAAATACGAGAGTTCCGGCCGTACTACTATTAGCAAATGTAATTGCATTTGTATACCAAGTTGTAGATGGGCAGAAGTTTGGTTGATTGATAGTTGTATCTAAAAATAAAAATAAATTAAAAATCATTCGTAGTATTGTTCGAACATCTTCATCAAATGAAATATTTTCTAATAAAAAATATTAATCGTATGGTCGATCTTATAAAGATCGTGAGAGAGTTAAATAGTGTAATATAATCAGAATCAATTTCAATATCATGTCTTTTATAATAAGTCTTCGATGAGATTTTATCATAGTTATTAAATCTTATAAAAAAAAAGATCCTAATTTACTTACTATAAACATTGGTTGTTAAATAAAATTTTTGAACTCGATGATTCCAGTCGTCAGCAATAAACATATTTCCATGAGTATCAAAAGATAGAGCAGTTGGATAATATAACTGATTAGATCCTGAACCGATAACTTTTGTACATCCTACTAGACAACGATATCCATTTGGTCCTGAACCAATAATACGTTGATTGGAAGTATCCGTAATAAATAGATAACCATCAGCATCAAGAGTAACACCACTAGGACCAGAGAGATCAATAGTTGATGGTGCTCCGGTACCAACTATTGTAATACCATTTAATTGATTTAATAAAAATAATTGTATTCTATTGTTACCATAATCAGCAACATATAAACTTAAATCTGTATCAACATAGATACCACGAGGATTATAAAGTGCATTTGATGTTGATCCTGCACAATCTATACCAGCAGCAACTATCCACATATTTGAATTACTATTTAATGATTTTGTGACCACTTGTTGAAGTGCAGTTAGTGAGCAATAAAGATTATTATACATATCAACAAAAAGACCCCAACATGCGGCTTTGACATTCATTACTGAAACACCAATCGTTGAATTTACTGTCCATTTATCTACTTGACTATTTGAATAACCATTATCAACGTAAACATCACCGTTAACTGTAACGAATAGAGTATAAGGATAAAATAAACCACCACTCATATTCCTTATAGGTACGGTACTACCTTCAAGGAAAACCAGAATAATAGATTGAGACCATTCACTTATATAAAGAGTATTGTTAGTATCAATAAATATACCGTATATAAATCCGGAACCGCTGTTGAAAAGAGTTATTCCATTAGCACTCCAAGTAGCATAAGCGCTGAATGTTGGCCGATTGTATGAAAGACCTACAAAAATATATTTAACAAAGATTACTTTGATTTCTGTCAAATTAATCATTTGGCGTACAATTATCATTTTCCTAGTTACGATCTAACTGAGCAATAACATACAACGCCTATGAAATACTATTGAAAATCTCGAATATTTGTTTTGTTAAGTCAAACTCTCGAAAAGCCGTGATAATATTTTACTTATTCCGTTCATTTATACTACACTAATCAGACACTATCAACTAAAGTCATTCTCACTTTCTGTAGCTAGATTTGCTTCCTTAACGAGCAGTACGCTGCAAAGTAAGATATACTAATTAAATTTCATATGCACAGTTGGAAAAAAATATTTTATAAACAGCATACCTGTCGCAGAAGATGCATTGGTAGAATTTGTTCCATAGGCAGCTGTTAATAAAGGAACTGACTCAGTACTATTCATTGATGTTACTATTAAAAATAAATTTAAATTTTTAGTAAAAAAACAATCTGTAAATAATTACCATTTATCATCGTTGTCGTTCCATCTATAAAAAAAAACATAATTTTAAGTATCATCATTCTCTTTTCATACGAGAGACTGTTATTTCAATAGTACATTTTTAATGTACTAATAAGAAGATTATCGTATGAGAAAATCTGTTTTGAAAAATAATATCTCTCTGTAAAGACTGATCAAAAGTGTAACCGCTCAAAAAATATGATATTAAGTTATGCATATTTATCCTTCAACTGATGAACGGTTCAGATAAAATCACTTTTTAAAGCTTAGAATTAACTTTAACTTACTGCATCCATTTGTTATTAATAAAAACTTTTGAACGCGACTGTTAGACGTATCAGTAACAAATATATTTCCATAACTATCAAAACTAAGAGTTGATGGATAATATAATGTGGTAGCTGTTGAACCATGTGTTCCAGAACATGCCGCTATACATCGAAATCCATAAGGTCCTGAACCAATAATACGATAATTATAACTGTCAACAATAAAAAGATATCCATCAGCATCAAGATTAACTCCAGTTGGATAAGATAGTGTAATAGTGCCTGTTGCTACTGTCGTTCCATTTATTTGCCCCGATGCAAATTTTTGAATTCGACTGTTATACATATCCGCCACATATAAATTCAAGTTACTATCAACAAAGATTCCACGAGGATAATAAAGTGTAGTCGATGTTGATCCATAAGTTCCATTTCCAGCAACCGTATTCCAAATAGGCAAACGTGTACTCAATGATTGTGAGATAACTTTATGAGAAGCATACATTGTGCAGTAAAGCGTATTACTTATATCAATAAAAAGACTATAGCATGCTCCGCACATATACATCACTGCAACACTACTTGTTGAGTTTAACATCCATTTGTCAACTTCATAATTTGTATTGCCATTATCGACATATATATCACCATTATCTGCGGCAAAAACGCTATAAGGATGAACTAAACCACCCGAAATAGTTCTTGTCGGTGTTGTACTATCATTAATCCATACCTGAACTCGATAATTTGAATAATCAGCCACATAGACAGTATTGTTCGCATTGATAAAAATACCATTAGGACTTGAGCCAACTGTAGTGCTATTGGCAAAAGTTATAGCCGTAGAATTCCATGTTGCATTTGCACAAAATTTTGGTTGATTGTATGAGATGCCTAGAAAAAATAATACGAATGATTTTAAACCTAACAATAGACATTCTACATTCAATTAGTTTATTCATAATGATCTCATAGATGTTTATTTTGAAAGAAAGATTCTTGTATGAAGTTAGATATCCTATTTTAACACTAAGTATATTGACAATTTAATAAAATACATACCTGATGTTTGTCCAATATACAGGAATAATAACCACATATTGAAAAAATCAAATAATGTCATATTATTTATCTGAAATGAAATTAATAAAATATACGATCTTTTAAGTAATGCAATTTATTATAAAATAATACAACATCTAAAAGTTTCTTAAGGTTATTTTATGAAACACAAACTAAAAGGAGTACTTAAATGTTAGTGGTAGGAATTAAATAACCCTATCGCCAATAAATATTACAGACATTACCTTCATTGGATATTCTATTAACTTCAGCGCATTATATCCTACAGTGAAGGGAAATAGTTTAAAATGAAAACGTCCTCTATCATAAGGGCAATTTACTATAGATGATGAGAGGCGTTATTGATTGGCACTAACTGATATTACAACACCTATGTTGTATCTCGCATTATAATCCGTCAGATACAGCGCTAACAGCTTTTTTAAATAATATTTTGTGATATTCTTTTGAAATAAACTGAATAAAATATACCCATTAAAAAACAACAAGAATATTGAAGCGTTTGCTAAATTAATATTTTTGTTAAAGAATATAAAATAACTTTTCTACATATTAAATTTTGTTTTATTACCATGTGTCAATGATATATTTTGATATTACATTTAAAATATTTATATGTATTTACAATAATCTAATAAATATTTTTCTAAGATGTGTATTTTATTATTATTTCTTTATCCAGGACTACATTAAAGTTATTTTCTCTTTGTCATCATAAGGTTTTTTAAAAAATATATTTCTGAATATTATTTTTTTTATTAGAAAAAAGAACTACTACTTTTGCTTATTGCATTTTCTTTAACTCATTTTCATATTAGAAAATATAATTATGAAAAAAAAAGAATCAAATGTTTTTTTTTTGTTTTATGTTTCTATGAGATAGAATCATTATATTTGATTGAAGATCTATATCGAACCTAAAACATCTGTCAACTCATATTTTTCAAAGAATATTGAAGAAAACATTATTTTTCACTGAACCTATAACTTCTCTATATATCTAGGAACAACTTAACATTAATTTTCAAGTATCTAAAATGACTTCTTTAAAATAAATCATATTTACTGTATACTTCGAAATATCTGCAATGTGATCTAGTATTATAGGAAAAATGTGAAGAATAAGGCTTATTTTAATTAAATATAAGATGCTATCCCTAATCAATGTAATATAAAAATAAAAGCTTCCTTTGAACATATTGGTGATCATTAGTTTCAGATTGTGCAATACTCGTTTATAAATTTAATAATTTAAATGAGTATGAATGATCACAGGTTTCTAAATTCTATATCTAATAAAAAACGAAGAAAAAGTATCGAAGTCATGAAAATATATGACACACCTTGAGACTAACGAACAGTAGTATAAAAGAAATTTATTCATTGGTATATGTCAATAAAGATCACAGATTTGCCTATTCCATCAAAGTATTGATAGAATTTATAATAATTAATAGTTTAGTTTTTCTCTTAATGTGTGATTATGTAGTTGGAAAGCTTTCAATTTATGAATCTTACTTGATATTGGTGAAATAAATAATCAGTTGTGTTGTATTTGTTTAACTTAAATTTATGAAAAATATATTTCTTTAAATATGAAGAGGAAAAATATGACAGAGGAGTATTCTCCAGTGTTTTTATTAAATACTGGCACTTTATATTATATCATCACGTTGGTAGCGATTCTGTTTTCTTCTCTCATATTACGCTTGGTTTATCAGATGTAAAAACAAGAAAAAAGAATAGTCATATTTAGGAAATACTTGTTTAAGATTTGAAAAAAATATGTAAGAGCAGATTAATAATCTATAATATTAGAAAATTAAATATAATCATAAGAAATTCTAATTATTAATTCTATTCCAAATAATAACTGCATTTTTCTATTTAGAATTATTAAGAAAATAAAAAAATAATATCGTTCAAAGATAATAGTGATGAAAAAGAAAAAAAAAGTGTCATTCATAGATATGATAACACAGTTTACCTATATTTAAATCTTGTTTCGGAAAGTTTTCATTTGTAAAAGCTCGTTAACTGATAAAAAAAACTTACTTATTCAAAAAGAAAATAGTTAAGAAAAAAAATTCATTTATTATTACAGAAAGTATATGACTTGGCAAACACATGTGTTTGTTTATTATTAAATGTCTTACTTTCTATATAAGTATGATATATTCACTGTAAAACATAAAATAAACCATAGAGAACAAGAATAAAATAATAAAGAAAATCTATTATAGTAAAATCATACTGATATCAAAACTAATTTACAAGATTTTTTGTGCTGTCTGATGAGATAATTCTTGTTCTACTAGTCAACATCTTTTAATATTGAATATAACATCATTGACCATTTGATTGTTTTGTATTTCTTATTTCTCAACACAAACTATACTCATATATTTGATATATAAAATAAGATTTTTTTTTGTGCATTTAATTAAATCAAACTTTTTTCTGTAAGAAAATACATTTTTTTTACAGTCATTAGACAAAAAAAGAAAAAGAATAGTTTTAATTTAGATAATTTTTTTTCTGATATAAACGAGGAAAAAATTATTAGTCATTCGTAGTTTATTACAATTCTGATATATTATTTCAAAGAGATAATTTTATCGTATATATTTATTTTTTATATTTGAGTAAAGAAATATTCAATGATTTTTTGATATGAAATGATAAATAAGTAATAATCGATACTTGCAGCATCTGACTCTCATAGTCTCTTTCATTTATTCTGTATTATTTACGCATGATTAGTCAAATAAAAGAAAGAATAATCTTTCTATTATTCTCTTTCTTGTAAGGAAGAGTCTAGCAGAAATAAATTGTTTGCTTCCTTGCTTGTATGTCCGCCCTCAGGAATGGTGCGAATCAGCCAGCATTGGAGGAAGGGGCGGTAGAAAACGTTTTTTGGAAGTGTAGCATTATTTTTGGTAAAAAACCTAAGAAGATTTACCGTTCTTTTTGAGCAAATAATAGAAATTTTCTAAAGATTGGGGAGGGGGATGTTACACACCCAACACGCTCCTCCGCCCCCCCCCCGCCCCTCTCCAGGTTGCGCAACTCCTGATTAAGGGTTTTCCTACAGTTTTTGGTACACAATCAGATGGAAAAAGCACATGTTGTAAATTATTAATGGTTAAAACGGTTGATGTTCCGTCAAAATCCTTTTTAATGCTGTAACTCTATTATTTATCTGATGATTATACATTTTAATGTTGAAAATGGTCACTTATAGATAAAAATATATTATTTTCCCCATTTTTGCATTATAGACTTGACTGGAAATCCATCTACAAGAATGTTCAAATCTGATTTTTCAGACAAGAATTTGAAAAGACGAGAGGCAAGATCGTCGACTAGTGTTATTATCATGTCACATACACAATCTAGTTTTTTTCCAAGCAACGTTTAGTTCTGTTTGGGTGTAATCTCACACCCACATTCTCTTATCAATTATCTCGTAATATTTAAATAATATGAAAATCTCTTTGAATTTTATGTGAAAACTTGGATAAAAATTGTTGAATCAATTAGAAAATAAATGCATTCATAGACCAATTAATTTAATAAAGTAATTAATATTATATCGATGATATCTGATTAAGAGAAGAAACATGTGATTTAACAGAAAATCATTTTACACCATCGTATTATTTATTTTCAAATATCTTAAATATTCTACCTTTAGGGTGAATGTCGGTGTGAATATGAAAATAAAGCTCACTAAATCTACATCCATATTCTCAAGATGATCTCTAAATATTTGTTTTTTTTCTTTCTTATTATTAATCAATATTTTTGTTACCTTATATTTTTTAGATGACACTAACATCAAATGTTATAATCTTATTTTATATTTTATTCTATATCGGAATAGATTAACCATATTAATATGATCTCCAGTTCTCTATTCTATCTTTTAATGTGACATTTAATGTTTATTTGATCAATCTTTTTCATCTAATGTTGAACAGTGGAATAAATGTTGCGTTCATTTCTTTTCTTTCCTCGTGTCTCCTTTTTGTTCTTCCTACATGTGAATCTTTATGCAGCGCAGTAAAAATATAATATTAAAAAAAACAAAATAGATCTGTATTTGTGTCTGTTCTGTATTAAATCAACGCACATTTTCTCGCATTTTGATTTGGTTGATTGCTTTCTCCTCTGCAGAGCAAACATATTATTTTATATTTTTGACGATGCAAAAGAAAAAATTTGTCATTAGTCTTGTATAAGTCATTTGTCAGTCAAATTCGATTTGTCGATTAGTGGCGCACACATATCTAAGTAAGTAAATGTGCACTGGTACTTATTCGTAACACAAGGAGAATTTAGGTTATCAATATTAAAATCATTTTTGTCATCCGATCTATGTTTATTGTATTTATTAGAATAAAGTCTATACTAGCAAATTTTTTTCGACTATTTTCGCAATATAAGATAGAGCTATAGGCAATGGAAAATAAATCCTCATATTAGATTAATTCAGATATATTTGTTATTATAATTAATGATATTGTGATTCAGTTTATTTGCTTCGTTGTATCTGCACGTCATATTAGTATTAAATATATACGCGCATGTAGAGTGTACAGGTAAAGAAAAGATATGAATATTTTTGTCCTCCTTCGCATTGTTCTAATTTTTCTTTTAATTAGTAGGTCACTCACATTTTACAACATGTTTGCTCCACGAATAAAAAGGATGAAAAAACTAATAGATGTCCGAATAGGTTTTGACTATTGTATACAGACAATATGACTCATAAATACAATAGGATAAACATACTAAATATTTGCTACTGATGATACAGGATCGTTCGACGTTTTTTACTAAATAAATATCATCAAAAAAAAATATATTATGATCTATTACTATTTGTTTTAGTCAATAAATATGCTCATTTTATGAATTTTATGATAAAACCTTGTGGAGTGTATGTACTATAAGCTCATATCAACAATAAAACATTGATAAAGTGATGATATTTTCTCTCTCATTATCCTTTTCAAATTATAAATGAGTATCTTTAGTTTAATTCATTTTGAACGTAGAAATATTTCTTGTGAATTAAAATTATCATACATTTGCCACTTATATAAGATTAGACTTGTTTATATCAGTTAATAATAACTAATGATGACTAGAAGTATGCAGTCGAGAATAAAGATCTTATAGAAAATCTATATTTTTAAACGATTTATTACTAATAAATCCTATAATATAGTTTTCTCGCAGCCAGGATCAAAAAACCAAGAATGATAAATATTTAAAATGAAAATGTTTTTGTTCTAAAAATAAGTTTATAAACTAACAAATAAAATCTCTTTCAGTGCGTAGTCAATAAGATTCAAAACTGATATTAATAACCATAATATTTTTGTTTTCTTTTTCTTTAAAACTGTAGATCATATAAAAACGAAATGGCTCCTGCAATTCGAGAGAATATCGATAATGTCAAGAATAAACTCGATCCATATTTACATAGTGAACAAATTGATTCATATTTGAATCCTATCGAAGAAAAAATACATTTAGAACGTTCACTAATTGTTCTTGGTATGTTATTGTTATTATTATTTTTGTTCTGTTACTACTTTGTTTTGATCATCTTAGGTTTGTTTCCTATTGTTATCATCTATATGATCTTTGGTGGATGCAATGATTTTGTCTGCAATTTTATCGGTATTCTTTACCCTATATGTGCTTCGTAAGTAAAATCCGATCTGTATATCTTGAGAGTGTGAGGATTAGATATTCAATTGAAAAGTAAAATATCTGAATTAGTAATAGATTTCATATATATTGATTATCTTGATAATTTCAATTGAATTATTTTATTTGTTAAGATTATCAATTGTTAAATCATCAGAAACAAATTATGTTAAAGAAAAAGAATTACTCATTTATTGGATTGTTTATTCATCACTGATTTCTATTGAGTATATTGGATATAATCAATTTCATGCATTACGTATTTATTGGCTTATTAAATTAATTTTTCTTATCTGGTTTATAAACTATGGTGCTGCTAAAGCCAAGAAATTACTTGAATTTGTAGCTCTTGTAAGACTTCTTCAGAAAGGTTAGTAAAGTTTATGATCATATATAATTACTGAACAAAAATCATAGAAAAATTCTAAATTGAATCTTATTCGAATATACTCTAAGTTATTTTATTGATTATTCTATCTATTAAAGAAATTGTGATACATTTATATATGTATTATAGAACTGGAACAAGACGAAAACGAAGAAGAGGATAACGAGTCAGAACGTGTCAAACTTACTGAAGAAATGATGATGATTGAATATGAAGAATCTTCGAAAGTGTGTGTCGTAGGCGTAACATTCGCTGATGAAGATATGATCCTTGTGTCTAATGTATTGAAAAAACTCGACGTAAGAAAATAAACTTTTCTTTATTAACAATTATCAGATGAGAAATTGAATTAATACATTGAATTAGATATATTATTTTCTTCCCTGTTCAATTGGAATAGTTTTAAATTCATGTGCAATTCTATGATGAGGAGAGAAACTTTTTATTCTCCTATTGCAATACTTTCAATATGAAATCTATTTCTTACTTATTTCCATTTTCACTTTTACACAGACACTCAAGAAATTCATATTGTATTGCAATACTAACGAACCCGAGACACTTCAATATCTGGTTGATGGACTACAAAGTTGCACAGTTAAATTCTTTCTTGTTTTATATTCTAATTTTCATTTCTAATGAATAATATAGGACCTAGCTACAATTAGATTGGTTTCAATCAGTTTAGGTGACGTAGGAATGCAATATGTGGCTGAAGGTTTACGAAATAATACGGTAAATTTGTTTATCTCTCTTATTTCTATTTTGAATTTTTATCACATAGACATTGGTTGAAATCAATTTTTCAAATACTGGTTTGGGATCTGAATCAGTACGAATTTTGGCTGAGGTTTTAGAAAATAAGACTGTAAAGTTCTTTTTCTTGTTATGTTTTTTATTTCCAAATCGAATTTTGTTGCAGGCATTGACTACTCTCGATCTCTCAGAGAATAATATTGAAGGTGACGGCGTTCAACATCTGGTTAATGTTTTAAAAAACAGCACAGTCAATATATTTATCTATTCATCTCGCTCATTTTCATCTTGATTTTTTTCGATACAGACACTGACTGATTTATGTCTTACATCGAATAAGATTGGAGACGAAGGAGCACAGCACTTGTGTGATCTTTTACGAAATACCATAGTATATATCTTTTTCTGATTAGATTTATCTCATTCGTATCTGTATTATTGGTATAGACACTCACCACACTCAAACTTGGTAACAATGATATCGGAGTGGAAGGAATTCGACACTTTGCTGATGCTTTAAAAAATAATAATGTAAATCTATTTATTTCTTTATTTATCTATTGCATTTTCAGATTGATTTATTTTTTCAGACAATCACAACACTCGACCTCGGTTCTAATAAAATCAAAGATGAAGGAGCCCGATATTTGGGTGTTGCTTTACGTGATAACACAGTAAATCACTTTTTATGTCTCTTAATCTTTCTTATTTCCGGCATTATTTTTTCCTGTAGACACTCAGTGAACTGGATCTTGGATCGAGTGAAATCGAAGCTGAAGGAGCCCGATTTCTAGGCGATGGATTACGAAATAATAAGGTCACTCTCTTTTTCTTTTGATCTCTCTCATATTCATATTAAATTTGTTGTATAGTCACTTACCAGTCTAAAGCTTTCAGGAAATATCATCAAAGACGAAGGGGTTCAACATTTACTTAATGCTTTAGAAAATAACATTGTAAATTTTTTTCTTTATTTATTTTCTCACGTAGTTTTATATTGAATCTTTTTATTATTCAGATACTCAACCACCTTGATCTTGCATGGACTGAATTTGAAGAAGATGGAAAAAAAGCGATTAATAATTATGTGGAAAAGACAGGATGTTCTGTCTTTAAAGGATTCGATTTTTAGATGAACATTACACAATAACGAACAAAACTTTTAGAAATTCTATTTTTTCTAATCATTATTAGATTATAGTTATTATTTATCACAAACTAACACATTTTATCTAAATAAATTAACTAAGGAACAAGTTTAACATTGATCAAAACTGTTTTTACTTTAAAAAATATTAGAAGTGAACAATTATATTAAACTCCATTGAACAAAATATATTGATAGTAGAATTAAAATTGGTGATATTTTTACAATAGAATATAATAAATAATGTATGACATATATTAAAATACAGATTCAAAATAATACTATTCAACTTTTTTAAAGATAAGATTAAAAGATACTTAGTTATCAAAACCACAATGTACAAAAAAATTGAGGGTGTAGGTGTGGGTGTTTTACAGTTATTTTATCCACAGTCGTATATGCATCCACCCACACCCACA